TATCCATAAGAGACTTCTGTAACGTTTTCTATCACTGTGTTATTTTGTCATGTAAACAGAGGAAGAAATAGAGGGAGTCCTTGAAAAGACAGAAATCAGCAGCTGCATCCTTATTTTTTGGCTCCCAGGCTGAAATCAGGTCCAGAGCAACATGTGCTACAATTTATATCAAATGCTGGATGGATTGCATCATTATGGTAACATCTGAAATAAATGTTTTTAAAACCGCACCCAGCTCAAAGCCATCCAGGTCACAAGTTGTTCTCTTCCTGCTAAAGTGTAAATTACAGCAGAAAACAGGTTGTGAAATTCCTCCCAGACTTTTATAAGATGCCCTGAGGAGGCAGCTTTGATCCAACAGGCTGGGACTGTTCATCAACCAGTCATGGTCCCGCCCCTGGCACTCGCTCAGGTTTCTGTCACTCTCATTACAGGTGCTGGTCATAAAATTAGAATATCATGAAAAAGTAGATTGATTTCAGTAATTCCATTTAAAAAGTGAAACTTGTATATTATATTCATACATTACATACAAACTCATATATTTCAGATGTTTATTTTGTTTAATTTTGATGATTACAAATGACAACAAATGAAAATCTCAAATTCATCATATCAGAAAATTAGAATATTGTGAAAAGGTTCAAAATTGATGGCCCCTGGTGCCACACTCTAATCAGCTAATTAACTCAAACCACCTGCAAAAGCCTTTAAATGGTCTTTCAGTCTAGTTCTATAGGCTACACAATCATGGGGAAGACTGCTGACTTGACAGTTGTCCAAAAGACGACCATCGACACCTTGCACAAGGAGGGCAAGACACAAAAGGTCATCGCTAAAGAGGCTGGCTGTTCACAGAGCTCAGTGTCCAAGCACATTAATAGAGAGGCGAAGGGAAGGAAAAGATGTGGTCGAAAAAAGTGTACAAGCAAGAGAGATAACCGCACCCTGGAGAGGATTGTGAAACAAAACCCATTCAAAAATGTGGGGGAGATTCACAAAGAGTGGACTGCAGCTGGAGTGAGTGCTTCAAGAACCACCACACACAGACGTATGAAAGACATGGGTTTCTGCTGTCGCATTCCTTGTGTCAAGCCACTCTTGAACCACAGACAGCGTCAGAAGCGTCTTGCCTGGGCTAAAGAGAAACAGGACTGGACTGCTGGTGAGTGGTCCAAAGTCATGTTCTCTGATGAAAGTAAATTTTGCATTTCCTTTGGAAATCAAGGTCCCAGAGTCTGGAGGAAAAGAAGAGAGGCACTTCATCCACGTTGCTTGAAGTCCAGTGTAAAGTTTCCACAGTCAGTGATGGTTTGGGGTGCCATGTCATCTGCTGGTGTTGGTCCATTGTGTTTTCTGAGGTCCAGGGTCAACGCAGCCACATACCAGGAAGTTTTAGAGCACTTCATGCTTCCTGCAGCTGACCAACTTTTTGGAGATGCAGATTTCATTTTCCAACAGGACTTGGCACCTGCACACAGTGCCAAAGCTACCAGTACCTGGTTGAAGGACCATGGTATCCCTGTTCTTAATTGGCCAGCAAACTCTCCTGACCTTAACCCCATAGAAAATCTATGGGGTATTGTGAAGAAGAAGATGCAATACACCAGACCCAACAATTCAGAAGAGCTAAAAGCCACTATTAGAGCAACCTGGGCTATCATAACACCTGAGCAGTGCCACAGACTGATCGACTCCATGCCACGCCGCATTGCTGCAGTAATACAGGCCAAAGGAGGCCCAACTAAATACTGAGTGCTGTACATGCTCATACTTTTCATGTTCATACTTTTCAGTTGGCCAACATTTCTATAAATCCTTTGTTTTTATTGGTCTTCAGTAATATTCTAATTTTCTGATATGATGAATTTGAGATTTTCATTTGTTGTCATTTGTAATCATCAAAATTAAACAAAATAAACATCTGAAATATATGAGTTTGTATGTAATGTATGAATATAATATACAAGTTTCACTTTTTAAATGGAATTACTGAAATCAATCTACTTTTTCATGATATTCTAATTTTATGACCAGCACCTGTATACAAACACAGACATCAAACATTAAAAAGGTGAACAGTTTTATATTGTTCAAACGCTTTACAGCACTTTATTTTATTGTTTATCTTTTAACTCATCACTATTATGTTATTCTGATACAGTGACTATTTTTCTATAATCTTTTTGCTGATGTAAACACCAGGATTCCCCCATTGTGGGACAATAAGGGGATTTCCTATCCTATTCTATTTTATTCTATTCTATCATATTGTATTTTATTCTATCCTATTCTATCCTATTCTATTCTATTCTATTCTATCCTATTCTATTTTATTCTATTCTATCCTATTCTATTTTATTCTATTCTATTCTATTCTATCCTATCCTATTTTATTCTATTCTATTCTATTCTATTCTATCCTATTCTATTTTATTCTATTGTATTCTATCCTATTCTATTCTATTCTATTCTATCCTATTCTATTTTATTCTATTCTATCCTATTCTATTTTATTCTATTCTATTCTATTCTATCCTATCCTATTCTATCATATTCTATTTTATTCTATCCTATTCTATTCTATCCTATTCTATTCTATTCTATCCTATTCTATTTTATTCTATTCTATCCTATTCTATTTTATTCTATTCTATCCTATTCTATTTTATTATATTCTATCCTATTCTATTCTATTGTGTTCTATCATATTCTATTTTATTCTATTCTATCATATTCTATTTTATCCTATTCTATTCTATTTTATTTTATCCTATTCTATTTTATTCTATCCTATTCTATTCTATCCTATTCTATTTTATTCTATTCTATTCTATTTTATTATATTCCTAAAGTGGGACAATCTCCATCCTGTTCAATAAATGATCAGTGTTTTTAATTCAGAGTAATTTTCATGTGAATGTGCTTTACTGGAGGCTCCATGTTTGTCAAAGAACACTACTGCCACCTACTGGTTTGTGACGTCACGGTGCGGTATCGGCTGTTGATCAAGTCCCAGTGCTGTATCTGGTGTTTGTCAAAACGCTCTATTATCCAAGTCATCTTAAAAACATTCTTCTTCCAAATGTTGGCTACATATTACGGGTTTTTTCTCTGGCCAGAAGTTCGATGGCAAATCCTCCCTCTTCAAGTTGGCGATCCAACGACCAACCCGTCCGTGGAGGATCAGGAATCAGAAAGGTGGAATAACTCTTTTTTTTTCACTTTTACCCGATGTATTCCAGCATCCAGCTGCCATGCTTGGGGCATTGTCAGTTTCACTATAGCTCTGGTGAATTTCAATGGTGAAGTCCTCTGGAAATCTTCAATAATTGTTGTTGATTGCAGATGTGTCTAGTAGTTCCCATTGATTTAGCTTGTAAAGCGGGGAGAATGGCGCTAGGCTTACCGCACCGTGACGTCACTGCTGGAAGATGGCAGGAGGGAGGGGCTACTATATTTGGGCAAAAATGGCCGCTCCCAGACTCAGTGATGAAAAATATAGTTTTTATTTGTTTACAGATTAAGGCTAAATTAATTAAATCACCGCGAACGTATTAGTTTTAGGTTAAAAAATAATGATCCATTGATTATTCCTTGCTTTTCCTGACTTTTCCTTTAAGGTTCTGAGAATGAGCAGAGTGAACAGATCTCCTCAGTCAGTCATCAATGTTCAGCATGTTTTACACTGTGGATCTCTGAGCAGAAGAAGGAGTTCAGGTAAGCTAAAAAAAAAAAATCTTCTGGTGGGACGTCAGGGACAGACCACAGCAGATCAATACAAATCAAAGCCTCCAACGTCTGTGTTTTATATATCTATAGAGAGGGCGGCGTGCAAAAAATTTGATCTACTTCAGTTTGCCAAGAAAGCAAAGCAGGTCAAGGATGCAAACTTTCCTCCTGTTCATCCTGTTACCAGAAGTAACTGCCATACTAAAGCAGAAACTGTAAAGTCACTCAAACTAACACTTTTTTTTTCTAGATTTTTCATTTCCAAAGGGCGGAAACATGAGCTGAGGAGCCAATCGAAGGATTAACTGAAGCAAATGGGGGGTTATTTTTTGTTGCTTTTTTATATAAATTTAAAAAAAGTGTTTTTATTTGTAAATCTTACAAAGAAAAGCTATTTCATATTAAAAGGAGAATGAATTCAGTTCAGGGCTCTTTTGTCAGTTCCTTTATATTTCCACTAGATGGCAGCACAGCAGTTTGACCTTTCGACCTTTAAATTGATTTTTATGTAAGACATAACATTTTACTGTGTAACATCATTTAAAAAAAAGGAAAACCCCCCTTCTTCTCACGAAACTGCTTTCAAAAACATGTTAAATATCAAATTTCTCCATCTGTGCATTTAAACACAACATACACAACATACACAACAAATAAAAGCAGCAGTTGTTCTGTTTGTAGCCTCTCCAGTTAGACTCCAACACCCGGTCCTTTGTAGGTTTTTAGGAGTTAAACTTTAAAACCAACAATATAAAGAAGCCATTCTTATTCGAAGAGTAAAATTAGGACTTCATTGATGGAAACAAAAAGAAATTATGCATAAAATGTTCTGAGCAATGTCAGTTGTATGAGTTTATATAGTAATAAAAGTACTAAAGTAATAGTTGTTAGAGTCCATTGGGGATGCATCGTATATTTGATTTGTATTCCTTGTATCTTATTGGAAACTATAGGTTTGCATAGGGACCATAGGGACATGTCCCTACCAACAGTTTGGACCGACCTACTTGTCCCTACCAACAATTAGATGTGAATAAAATTTTTATAATTTACAATACAGCTTTGTTGCAGCAGTAGAGGAGATCTCGCAAAAGTATTGCGAGATCTCGCAGGAGTTTATTTTTTGCGAGATCTCGCAATATGTTAAAACTGAGCAAAAGGCTCTGATTGTTTTATACACACCGGCAGGGTTTCCTCATGCAGAAAAGATCTTTATGAGACGATCATAAAGCATATTATTTATATTTCATAGTAGAGAATATCTAGGATGTCTGTCTGGAGTTTACCTCTTGCAGCGGCTGCTTGCAGAGTGGACAGCGGACGTTGTGGTCCAGACTCCTCTCAATGCAGTTTTTGCAGAAAGTGTGGCCGCATGGAGTCGTTACCGGCTCAAAAAACAACCTGCAAAGAACAGAGTGGCAGATAAAAGGTTTATTTAAATACAGCGCAGCTCAGTGAATATGCTGCTAATAATAAGTGTGCTGTACATTAGTTTAAAGTCTGAGAGTTAGCCAAACATTAACCGTGATGCAGGAGACGGCACAGACAGAATATTTGAGTAGACCCCACATCTTTAACCTATGGGCGCTGACATCTTGGGTGGGTCGACGGCTCCAATCAGTATAATGTGTTGAGCAGACACACAATTTTCATTTACTTTAACTCGCTGAATATTGAACTAAATTTTAAGGATTTGTGTTTAAATTTTTTGTTTCTGAAAACAAATATTTCATTGTATTTAAATATTCTTAGTGGGATTAAGACTAATAGAATATTCTGATTGGATGTGTGCATGTTGCAAAGCACAGCGACTACTACATCTTTATATATTTTATTACTATATACACAAACATATTTATACAGGTACACAAAAATATATATATGCACCTCTCCCTCCACAGGTGTATTGATTATTTATTTCACAGATGGACATTATTAACGTTTCTTTCATTCTTGTATTTTTTTTTTAAGTCTGTCACTTATTCTGTTATTTTTATACACTTCTTAAGGTCAAAATTTTGATCCTTTTTGCTGTAATCTTTTGCTGCTGTGACACCATAATTTACCCATTGAGGGACAATAAAGGGATTTTCCATTCTCCCTCTCTCTCTATATATATATATACACTGGAAAAACCATCTAAAATAAGTAAAACTTCCTAAATTAAGTGTATTTACCCTTAATTTGAGCAGGTAAATTAGAGAGTTTGCCAATGCAATGGGTATTTTTACTCTTAAAATAAGATAATTAGATAATTTGCACATGAAATAAGACAATGTAATTATGTTCACTTATTTTAAGTGTAAATTATCTTGTTGCATTGGCAAAATGTCTCTTTTACCTCTTCAATCCAGGAACAAATGCACTCATTTCAATAAAAAATGACTTATCTAGATTTCGATTTTTTCCAGTGTATATAGAGTGTATATGTGGCATTTATACATTAATGTCTTACAAATCTCTGATTATTACACAAAGTTATCCCTCTGTCGATTCAAACAAAAGTACCCCTCTCAGTAGTATAGGGTAGCAGGTCGACCTCCCCAAGATGGCGCCCGTACTTCATGCGCTGCGACAGTCAATGCGGGGTCTACTCTTTTATTATGTCTGCAGGAGATGGACTAAATGAAGCTATTACCTGATGCAGAGAGGGCATTCAAAGTCTGAGACGGTGAGCACAGCCAGTGTTTTCTCTCTGCCTGCTTTACTTTCCCCTGGGATGGAGAGAACGTTGTGAGAAGTTAAGTGAAGAATCAGAAGATCAATAATATTTACTGTCTGTTAACATAATGATGAAGACAATTAAATGTCTCTCTGGAGCGCTGGCTTACCTCTACCCTGGCATTCTTCTTTCCTCATCATCATTTCCTCATCTTCTTCACCGGCAGGCAGGAAGGAAACAGCTTGGCAGAGGCTGAGGCAGCACTCCGTACCAGCTTCATGCTTCATCTGCAAACCAATAACAAAGCTCAGTTTAACTAGTTAGGAATCAGAAATAATCCCAGGGCTAAATTACTTTCGTTACATGACTCCATCTGCAATGACTAAAGGTCCAGTTTGATAGACACTCTTTCGTACAAAATTAGGGGTTCCCTGCTCCATTTTACCATCAGTTTGGGGGTTTTAGAATGTTTATATCAGAAGGATGTAATTTTACTGTGGATTGTAATTTTAATTATTTTATTGTCTTATTATATAATGTTTTATTTTATTTTATTTGTTATTCTGTAAACAGTTGCACTGCTAAAAAAGAATTTCCCACAAGGAAATAGTAAAGTATTTCTGATTCTAATATAAAATACTCTACACGGCCATTTTTTTGCGTTATATGTGTGTAGCTTCAATGACATGAGGCCTCGATTCATGGCCGAAGTGGGGGGGCTGCAGACCCCCCAAGTAGTGAGAGACATTTCACAATTTATAAGTGTATGAATATTTTTGGAAAATTATTTTTGACTTTTTTTGTTTTACTATTACGTGTATTTGGATTTTAATTTAATTATTTTACTCGCCAAATAAAGAGGGATCCTACGGAAGAGGTTTAGGGCCACTGGAAAAAAAAAAAAATGTAAGTGATTTTTGAATTTTATTTCAGTTAAATATGGGAAAAAACATATTTTTCTTTTGACTTTAATATCAGAATTAAAGTCAAAATTAAAGTCCGAATTCTGACTTTTTTTCCCCATATTAAACTGAAATAATATTTAAAAATCACCTAATGTTTTTTAATTTTTTCACTGGACCTAATCCTCTTCCATGTAAATTTACATGGTCTAATGACAGAAAGGAGGAGGAGATTTGGACACAGAAACGCACTTCGGATTTTTTGGAAAAACCACCACAATTGAAGAAGAACACTAGTACAGCAACCATGACAACGGAGAGCAGCAGGAGTGAGTAGAAAGTCCGCCCACCTGTGATGGAAGTTACACCGGCAGGCTCAGCTGCAACCATGTCAGTAATTTATGGGGGGAACAGGGGGGACATGTCCCCTGCACTTTTTCAAATGTTTGTATTTGTCTCCTGGATGTTTTACTGTCCAAAAACAATGTTCCGCTACAGTACAAAGACATTCGTCGAGCACTAGGACCAAGCGGAAAACCGCTTGAGTTTAGACCGCCCACAAGCTCCTGATTGGCCCTCCATCTTGTGTGATTAGATTGTCAAGCACGCTGAAATGAGTTATATTAAACGATATTTGCGTCTCACCCATTTCTGAAATCAAAATTTCGTCCATGCCGCAACCCAAGCTAGCGTAACTAGATCAGACGAGCCCTTCCAGCCAACATCCAGTTTCGGATTTCCTCCTCAGCGTTGAGTTAATGAAACGTTCCAACGTTCTGTGGCGCCTGTGTTCTGTCAGATGAGCATACCCAGTCAGACCAGCATACCCATAGTCAATACCAGTTTATCCCTTTAGATTTGTACAAAAAATAAATATTTCAACTGCCTCAATGAGCGTGTATTCCTTTAGTTATCAGTACGTTTTAAGACGCACTGATCACTAGCTGTCAATCACAAGAACAGACAAGTCTGCTCTGATGCATGCTGGGTAAAGAGGGAGGGACTTTGTCGGTTGTCAGCCTTGTGTTCTTGTGAATTGGAATTGAGGCTGATGACGTTTCACGAGGAAACGAGGACGCACAAGTATACAGATTGAGAAACGGCCGTAGTCTTTTTGAGTGTTTTTTTTTTGTGTTATCATTATGGTATATAGTGTGTAATCTAAAGAAAGAAGCAACTAAAAAGCAGATAAACGCGGTTTAATCATATTTTGTCAGACTGCTCTGAGTGCCATGATTAGGTCAGAGAAGCAGTTTAACGGAGAAAACGTAAAAAGCATCAAAGTTGTCTCAGAAATGTCATAAAAATGTTTTAAAGATGTGTATTAGCATTCTTTAGTGAGTTAAAGGTTGAAATAAGTACTTTAAGTACTATAATTACATTATTTATGGCTTGACAACAGTGACGTGCGGTCAGGGGAGGCAGGTGAGGCAGTGCCTCACCAGCCATCATGGAAAGAAAGAAAATATATAATCATAAAGTAATTTAAATTGTTATATTCATCCGGTGGTTTGTACTAAAAAATATTCATTTTTCATGTAGCTTCACCAATTTCGATTTTTATTTGTTCAAAATCGCTGAATTTTCTTATTTTCCCATTCAAATGCTTGGAAGCGATGCCGGTGAGGCAGCAGCGAGCTCTGCCTCACCTTGGATTGCGCAACCCCTGGCTCTGCGCTGGCTGCAAAGCGGAGAGAGCATGTTGCTGTACGGCGTCAATAAAATGGTTTAAACAAATGTAATATGTGAACTTATTTCTAATAATTTGGCTTATGTATATAATGTACAGAGCTTTTTGTCACCAACTGTGTTTGTGTAACGTGTTTCGTGTAATGAGCGATTATAAACGGCAGAGAACAAGTTCGAGGTGAGGCAGGCAGTTCTCTTGCCTCATGGCAGGGGGTGCTCAAGAGACTGAAAACATAAGGCAGGAACAGGACGGATCAAGGAAGGCTTTCTTCCCTGGCAGTGATCTCCATTGAGACAGAGAGACTTTTAAAACTGAAGGAAGATAAGGAGGACTTCTATTCATTTATAAGTAAAGGTAAGACAGTAATAACGTTTATTTTGTTTTGTTTTTTAAGGAAATGTGTGTTTTGTGAGCTACAGTTTGTATGTGTAAGGATGCAGAAGTGAAACATAACCTGTAAACTGCTGTCAATCTATGCATCTATTTGCAAATCTGATTCTGATGACGTCAGTGCCTCACCAGCTATGAACCTCACCGCACGTCACTGCTTGACAATGACAATGCTTTGCTAGCGTTGCTACAACCTGGATGGAAACATACTGGTTCAAGAGGCGGTATTTCCTGAAAAGCAGCCAATCAGTGTTAGTTTACTTTCTAGGGTCGGTTCCTCCCTCAAAGTGACAGAAGTTGACATGAGAGCAGAGAAACAGGTCTACAGGTGAGAAGGAGAGAATCTACAGGTGTACAGATACCCAGAGAGCAGAAATGAGCATGAAGTCATAAATGTGAGATATTGGGACCTCATGGTGTTTAATCTACATGTGTAAAATGTTTAAAATGTATGCGGAGAGTAGTTTAAAAGCTTAAAAAGAAACTGCTCCTATGAGTATTTATCGCAGCGTACCCTTTTTGCAGGACTGACTTCAGAACAAGGAGCATCCTGAATCTTCACCTTGTGTGCTTCTCTCCTCTCCATGTTTGGGTTCTTGCCTTCTCCTTGCGTCGGTGCCTGGGAGCCGCTGAGGGTGGTGATGGGGGGTTCTTTCAGATAATCAGAAACCAGCTGCAGAATGCATGGCACCTCCTCTGGCACCGCTATTCCCTCTACCTGCAGGACCTGCCATTCAGAATAAAATGGTGAAGATCTGCCTGCATTAAATCTCAGGTTTCACATTTTGAAGCCTGTTTGGAAAATCTAGATTAAAATATCAAAAATCCACAGCAGGTAATAAACGATGCTTTTGAACCTTTAATGTGAGATGAACCAACCTTCTTGATCTGGCTCTTTGCAGCAACAAAGTCAGCTTGAAGTTTTAGGCAATGGTGGAACTGGATCAGGGCTTCCTTCTGCTGACCCATTTCCAGCAGAACATTCCCTTTACGAAAAAAACCCTGCAGAGATAACGGGGAGTTAGTATCCATCTGCCTGTGCATGCAAAGACTGCAACTCTGATCCTACTGCAACCTTTAGAAAAAGGTATAAATACAGGCTTTTATTGGATTAATTGTCTTTACAAAATCCACCTAAAAGCTCATTTCAGTTTATTGGAAGAATCTAAATATTGTCTCTATTTAAAATGTCCAAACTAGGGCTGCAAATAGATTAATCTGTTAATAATTTTTTAGAGCAATTGATTAATAATCTGATAGCCAAAGATAACGAATATTTTTAACAAACTCAAACCAAATGAGATCTGGATTACAGAGCAGATTGATTGAGAAGTTTTTTTCTTATCTTAAATGCAAAACATTTATATATGAGTCGCTCTGTCAGCTACAGGCCTGTTTTACAGTCTCTATACCCCGGTATAATGATTAATCGATTACTAAATTAGTTGACGATTGTTTCAATAATCAATTAATCTGATAGATTATTTCAGCCCTAATCCAAACATTTTTTTTAGATTCAGTCTCAGATCCAGACAATAACAACCATTATGGTGAACACTAAACATTTCCTTTAAATGTTTGTTCAAGATCCATCTATCACCCATAATACTGTAAATAACTGCTGTAAAATAGGAAAAAAAACTATAAAAAGTTCAATAACATTTAGAAATGAGCCTTAACCGTATATTGTAAGTTAATATATTTAGAACATAAGTTATAATAAGATTATTCTTTTTCTTTTACCAACTTTCTGTATCTGACTTTTTTTTTGGTGACTGAGGCTGCTATGAGATTAAAAAAGTTAATCTAAACGCATTATAGTCCCGGTAAAGTGCTGATGTTAGGACAGAAAAGGCTTTTGGGACTAAATTAAAATCAGGTTGCAGAAACGTTGACCCTAAGATGCAGCTCTCTGATGTAATCTATAATAATCCAACCCAGAGAGATAAAGGAATTATCCCGGTTATCAGAAGTAAGAAACAAACGTTGGGGATTAAAAATCTGAAGTTCCCAGATACCCTCATTCATTTTCATGGAAGTTAAACTTTATTAAATAGTTAGTATACAGTGAACCCTCGCTATAACGCGGTTCACTTTTCACGGTCTCGCTGCTTCACGGATTTGCATCATGCATTGTTAAACTTTATTGTCAAACATAATCGATGGTGGCATGTCGGTTTATAAGGATCTTTTTGCCCAGAAGAAAAAAGAGCGACAACAACTACAGATAACTATGTTCTTCTCTCCAAAAAACAAACCTGCACCGCAGGATTTAGAAGAAAAAAACGCCACAGAGCTACGGTGGCCCTGAAGTGCAAACTGCAACTACAAATCTAAAAGCGCAACTACATTAAGGAAAACAAAACTACTTAAAGCAAAGCGCAACTATATTAAGGAAATCGCAACTACATAAAGCAAAGCTCAACTACATTAAGGAAATCGCAACTACATAAAGCAAAGCACAACTACATTAAGCAAAAACAAAACTACATAAAGCAAAGCACAACTACATTAAGAAAATCGCAACTACATAAAGCAAAGCACAACTACATTAAGCAAAAACAAAACTACATAAAGCAAAGCACAACTACATTAAGAAAATCGCAACTACATAAAGCAAAGCTCAACTACATTAAGGAAATCGCAACTACATAAAGCAAAGCACAACTACATTAAGGAAAACACAACTACATTAACCTATCGGAAAAGGTAGGTACCAGTGGGAAACATGAGACATCGCTGATTGGACGACGGCGCCGTTTGACCCTTGAACCGGAAGTTGCGTCGTCTGAACAGTCCAGCTTCTTTTAAGTGTGTCTTCAGTCTACGCAAACTAACTGAAATTTGGTGATTAGTCTTGAGCATATCCAGTATCGCCTCGTACGTTTGTCCTGATTCAAAATATTCCTGGATAACGGCAGCTATGTTTGGGGCGCCGACAATATCCATGTTTTCAAAAGCCGCAGCAGGCAGAATGACTTCCGGTTCAAGGGTCAAACGGCGCCGTCGTCCAATCAGCGATGTCTCATGTTTCCCACTGGTATCTACAGGTGCTGGTCATAAAATTAGAATATCATGAAAAAGTAGATTGATTTCAGTAATTCCATTTAAAAAGTGAAACTTGTATATTATATTCATACATTACATACAAACTCATATATTTCAGATGTTTATTTTGTTTAATTTTGATGATTACAAATGACAACAAATGAAAATCTCAAATTCATCATATCAGAAAATTAGAATATTGTGAAAAGGTTCAAAATTGATGGCCCCTGGTGCCACACTCTAATCAGCTAATTAACTCAAACCACCTGCAAAAGCCTTTAAATGGTCTTTCAGTCTAGTTCTATAGGCTACACAATCATGGGGAAGACTGCTGACTTGACAGTTGTCCAAAAGACGACCATTGACACCTTGCACAAGGAGGGCAAGACACAAAAGGTCATCGCTAAAGAGGCTGGCTGTTCACAGAGCTCAGTGTCCAAGCACATTAATAGAGAGGCGAAGGGAAGGAAAAGATGTGGTCGAAAAAAAGTGTACAAGCAAGAGAGATAACCGCACCCTGGAGAGGATTGTGAAACAAAACCCATTAAAAAATGTGGGGGAGATTCACAAAGAGTGGACTGCAGCTGGAGTGAGTGCTTCAAGAACCACCACACACAGACGTATGAAAGACATGGGTTTCTGCTGTCGCATTCCTTGTGTCAAGCCACTCTTGAACCACAGACAGCGTCAGAAGCGTCTTGCCTGGGCTAAAGAGAAACAGGACTGGACTGCTGGTGAGTGGTCCAAAGTCATGTTCTCTGATGAAAGTAAATTTTGCATTTCCTTTGGAAATCAAGGTCCCAGAGTCTGGAGGAAAAGAAGAGAGGCACTTCATCCACGTTGCTTGAAGTCCAGTGTAAAGTTTCCACAGTCAGTGATGGTTTGGGGTGCCATGTCATCTGCTGGTGTTGGTCCATTGTGTTTTCTGAGGTCCAGGGTCAACGCAGCCACATACCAGGAAGTTTTAGAGCACTTCATGCTTCCTGCAGCTGACCAACTTTTTGGAGATGCAGATTTCATTTTCCAACAGGACTTGGCACCTGCACACAGTGCCAAAGCTACCAGTACCTGGTTGAAGGACCATGGTATCCCTGTTCTTAATTGGCCAGCAAACTCTCCTGACCTTAACCCCATAGAAAATCTATGGGGTATTGTGAAGAAGAAGATGCAATACACCAGACCCAACAATTCAGAAGAGCTAAAAGCCACTATTAGAGCAACCTGGGCTATCATAACACCTGAGCAGTGCCACAGACTGATCGACTCCATGCCACGCCGCATTGCTGCAGTAATACAGGCCAAAGGAGGCCCAACTAAATACTGAGTGCTGTACATGCTCATACTTTTCATGTTCATACTTTTCAGTTGGCCAACATTTCTATAAATCCTTTGTTTTTATTGGTCTTCAGTAATATTCTAATTTTTTGATATGATGAATTTGAGATTTTCATTTGTTGTCATTTGTAATCATCAAAATTAAACAAAATAAACATCTGAAATATATGAGTTTGTATGTAATGTATGAATATAATATACAAGTTTCACTTTTTAAATGGAATTACTGAAATCAATCTACTTTTTCATGATATTCTAATTTTATGACCAGCACCTGTACCTTTTCCGGTAGGTTAATGTAATTGTGTTTTCCTTAATGTAGTTGCGCTTTTAGATTTGTAGTTGCAGTTTGCACTTCAGGGCCACCGTACAGAGCAGAGTCAGGATGCAGCGGCTCCATCAGAACAGCAGTGAAATACTGAACTGTACACGTCAGTCACTAATTGTCCTTCTGTACTTTGTATTTTTTCCATAATAATTTTTCACTTTCTCCCGTTCCAATCCGTCACGGCCAGAGATAGGAAGTAACGAAGTACAAATACTTCGTTACTGTACTCAAGTAGATTTTTCTGATATTTTTACTTTACTTTACTACTTATTTTTATGGCGACTTTTTACTTCTACTCCTTACATTTTTACACAAATATCTGTACTTTCTGCTCCTTACATTTTAAAAAATTGGCTCATTACTTTAGTTTTGAATCATTTCAATGGAGTTACCGTTATTATTTTTCACGTCATCAATACCAAATTCAATCTAACTGGATGGGAATCTACGTTGCATTTGACGCACCACTACAAGATGAATCGACAGATTCGGCGGTATTCATTGGCGGCGAATCATTGCAGCTTGGTGGCGGTGGCGTTAGCATAGTAGCATGGACGACGAGATGATTGAAAATGAACACAACGGAGATCTAGTCCTATTGGCAGACATCCATTTAAAATGTAGGCAACGGCATGAAAAAAGTGGTTTCTACTTTTACTTTTATACTTTAAGTAAATTTACAAGCCTGTACTTTGTTACTTTTACTTGAGTAAAGAAGTTTAATCAGTACTTCCACTTTTACCAGAGTATTTTTTAACACAAGTATCTGTACTTTTACTCAAGTACGGAAAGTGAGTACTTTTGCCATCTCTGGTCACAGCGGGCGGTGCTGATCAGCGCAATATTAACCCTTCAGTTCGTATTGATGATTAAAATTATTACTTATTTATTTATAACTATATTTTTAACAGAACAGTACAGCAGTTATTTGCTAAAAAAAAAAAAAAAAAAAAAACGTTTATAGAGTACTTTTATTTGTTAAACAAATGCTTGGGCCTGTAAAAAGTTCCTTGATTTCAATGTTTTATGGAGTATTTCATTGTATAATAACTGTAAAAAAAATAAAGGTTTCTACTTCACGGATTTGCCTATCGCGGGTTCTTTTTGGTACGTAACTCCCGCGATAAACGAGGGTTTACTGTAATGCGAGTACTTATAGGATGCAACTATACGGTCATGTAATTCAGGTAATAAAAAAGCATCTAATGTCAGCAATTTGATTTGAGATTCGGATCCAAAATGAATCGGGATCATTAGAATCAGAATCAAATCAATTCTAGAGATTCGAAACGAAACCAGATCCTGATTTTAATGTTTGAACGCATCCTAAACAGGATTACCAGCATCCTATACTAGCTTCATGTGCTTCAAAGTCGATAAAAAGCCCTTTGATCGTTGGATTCAGGCCTGATCTGCCTTCTCTGTCACCATCAGCTCAACGGCTCAAATGTAAAGAAACTCATTTTTGCAAACAGAACCAAGCAACACAATGACTGCATGCGTTGGACTTTCCACAGCAGCACTAAATTATTAAGCTAAGTTATGACATAAGTGGCTGTTTGCATAACGCTGAGGGTGACATAACCTTAAAAAAAGGCAGAAAAAAATGGCTCCGAACAGAATGGCTTAGAGCAGAATACAAAGAGAGCAGGGAGTCCACACATTCCTGGTTATGCGTCATTTCATTTATGTTACAAAAGCAAATGTTTTGAGTTGGCTCCAGGAAATGCTTTCCTAGAAATGCATTATTTACATGACAGCCAAATGTCATAGAACCAATGCAAAAGCTGATTTAAAAATACGCAGAATATTCTTAAAATGCAGAATGATTTGACATTTAAATATAACTTCCATAAGACTTTAAGCGCAATTATAAAAGTGTAAAGTTGTTTAAATATCCTTGTTTTGGATGAAAAATGTGCATTTCTATCAGTGAAATGCCTGCTGAGGCTGTTAATAGAGGAAAGGTTATCGTAACAACTTTATATATATATAACAGCTTCGAAGCATCTGATGCAGGTCCAGCAGAATCCAGAACAGCTTCTTTTCCGCTGCCATTAGACTGCTGAATGTTGAATAAAATGGTGTGTTATAAAAAATTTTTTTAAAAAGCACTGAATCTTGAAAACTGTTTATCACATACCTACGGTGGCTGAGAGGTGCAAAACACATTTACAATTCAAAAACACATTAACAAATAAAAAACAAAATAACATTTGAAGAAACAAAATCATATTTTATGAAACAAATGTATTTTTGAAAAAAAAAAGTTTACATTTTTAAAAACAAATTTACATTTTAGCAAACAAATTTACATCTCAAAAAAAAATTGACCGTTCGGAAACACTTGTACAAGTGCAAAGACAAAACTGCAAGCGGCAAAACACAGTTACATAGCCAAAAACAAATTAACAAAAGACGGCTACACGGAAAGCGAATGTCCCAGTGGCCGGATGTGACGTCACCATTACCCTGACTTGTAGTACAAACAGCTCAATCTGTAGTCCTCCTGCTTCACGCGAAAAGTCAGCGGCGTCAGGGTAAAGTCAGGGTAATAGTGACGTCACATCCAGCCACTGGGACATTCCCTTTCCGTGTAGCCGTCTTTTGTTAATTTGTTTTTGGCTATGTAACTGTGTTTTGCCGCTTGCAGTTTTGTCTTTGCACTTGTACAAGTGTTTCCGAATGGTCAATTTTTTTTAGATGTAAATTAGTTTCCCTATAATGTATTTTTTTTTCTCTAAAATGAAACTTTCTCTCACCTAAAATCTAACTTATTTAAAATGTAAATTTGTTTGCTAAAATTTTAACTTTTTTTTCAAAAATACATTTGTTTCATAAAATATAATTTTGTTTCTTCAAATGTTATTTTGTTTTTTATTTGTTGATGTGTTTTTGAATTGTAAATGTGTTTTGCACTTCTCAGCCACCGTACATACCAGTCTTACATTTTATCACTGCTGCACTTTAAAAATGGAAATGCCTTGAGAGCTGTACTCAACGAAATTGCTTTTTGCATACACTGTGTGTAAAAGATAACAATAAAGTCTAAGTCTATATGTTTTATGAAACGCAATCAGGAATATAAATCAACAGACGCTGGTCTCTCACTTCTGTCCAGTTGGGTTGAAGGCAGCAGAGGTAGTCGAGGTCCATCAGAGCATCGGAGAACCGCAGCAGGCCCAGGTTAGCTTCAGCTCTGAACAGCTTCAAACTCGGATTGTCCGGCACTGGGAAGGAATGAAGACAGCAGACGACTTAAATGCTGGTGAAGATTCTCAGTCACCCGGGTCATAGTCATTCCAAAAAAAGTTTTTAAAAAAGTTAAAAAAACGAACCACTGGACTTTGTTTTCAAGTTTGAAGACGTTTCGCTTCATTCAAATGTCAGAAATAGCCTCAAACTCAACGCTATTTCTGACATTTTTAATTGAAAAAGCTTCCTGGATGGGAAGAGAAACGTCTTCAAACTTGGAATCAAAATCCAGTGGATTGTTTTTTAACTCTTTTGGACAAAATAAAGACACTGAAGTGACTCTTTGATCAGTTTCTGTACGGATCTTAACTTGCACTACTGGATGAGGTTAATAAGCAGGAAAATTTAAAATCCGACCAATAGGACCTGCTGTTGTTAGCTTAAAGCTGAAGGATATTTTATCATTATTCAACTAATGTAATAGATAAGACAAGACAAGATAAGATAAGATAAGATAAGATAGACTTTATTGATCTCACAGTGAAGAAATTTGCTGTCAAATTGGCTCAATAGTTACAGAAAGCTGCCAAAAGGCTTTGCTGATTGTTTTAGCAGTTATTGTTACATCATTCCTGTAAAGAGGGCTGAAATTTTAAGTCCCATAAAAATAAATTAACTTACCATTAAATAAGGTGATATAGCATCTATTTATTAATTTATTTGATAAATGGACAAATAAGGCAGCATCATGTAATTTATTTTTCTACTAAATATATTTAAATATAATGGGAAATAAAAATCACTAAACTGGCTTTGATGTGTAAAAAGGTAGATTGAACGTTTCTTGTAAAATATAAAAGCTTTTTTTGTTTTTTTGGCATAAAGGAATCTGAGAAATTAGCTTCTTACTGGATGAGAAAAGTAAAAGAATGAAGGTGGGTTTGGATTTAAATTCTACTTTAAATTCTTGCTATTATTTAGCTTTTAAATCTAAATTTTCATATTTGTTTCTATTACACAACACTTTTTGTGTTTGACATATTAAATTAAAGGATTTATTGTTTTGTTTTTTGTCTTTTCTTTTGTATCCTTTAAAGAAACATCATTAGGACATAGAACCATCTTATCAGGACACATCACACCAATCAAATTATAAATCAGCCTAAAATGCTCTCACAACATCTTTGATCATTAAATAATAACGGCCGTTTCCAGCTTCTCCTGTATTCTTCATGTACGGAGTAAAAGTTTGTCCATTATTGTTGCAAGCAAAGAACATTTTCTGTAAGTAGAAATTTGAAAAAAAAGAAATGCAATTCAGAAACAAATCTCTGAAAAAGTAGTTGTTTTTTTAAATGGTTTCGAGACCAAATTTGCTCTTTTCTTAGATTTAATTTTCTAAATTCTGATTACAACTAAATATATTTAACACATTTTTAACAGAGTTTTTATTTTCAAGAAAAGTGAAGGGAATCCATAAGACTGATTCTGACAATAACACAATTCATAAAACTTAAAATATATATATATATTTTTGAATGTAGAATTAAAAAAAATGTTGGAATAAAAATTGAAAACAGAAACTCTGTACAAAATTGAAAACAAATGAAAAACATAAAAAAATAAAATGAAAAATTGAATCTGAAAATAATATGTTAAAAAAACGAAAAAAATATATAAATCATTAAAAATAAAAAAAAAACAAAAATGTAAAATAAAAGCTAAAGAAATAGGGAAAACTTGCAAATTTTGAAAATATAAAATCTAAAAAAAAAAGTAAACTAAAAACTGCAAAAATAAAATCTGAGAAAACAGCCTTGTTAAGAATTAGCATATAACTAAAACCTAACGCTTCCAAACGCTCTCTGATCACGCGCTCTATGTGATGTTTTCCAGGACTTGTTCATACTTGTTTTATGGGAGGCAGACTTTATGTTGATGACATAATTAATAAAGCAGAAAAACAAACAGAAATATTGACTTCCTGTCAAAGAGGTTACGAGTATATCTAAGCTAAAATTTAACTACTTGGCAAGTAGCTGCTTTTTTTCTTACGGTATACGACAGATTTTAATAAACTCATTACACAAATAGAGTTTCTGTTTCCTAAAGCTGTTACACAAGCCCTGTTTATAGAGCAGGCCTTCATAGACACTGACTCAGCTCATAGAAACGCCAAAGATAGAGAAAGAACAAGTTCAACCAGAAGAAGGAAGTAAAAAATCAAAACACATAATAGCCCCAATGACATTACATGACAGAGAAACATGGGTGGTAGCTGTATTTAATGACTGACAAGGCATCTATCTATGCCTCCTATCTCTAGGATGCCTACTAACTTGAACGGCGTATATCTGGGGCAGAACTCCCTTATTCAGAGTCCTTTTAGATTTCACACAGCTGCATGCAAGAAATCAGGTCAATAGAGGAGGATGAGCAAAGTGTTCAGGATGGTGGAGGATTTCCACATCTGGTAGCAAATAGATTAATTGGATGTTATTGCTGTTTTTTGTTTTTATGTAAAAGGAAAGTAGGGATCCAAAAGCATCAGATGAGGCTCACCTTGTGCCAAATGATACGATTGCAAGACATCTGCTCTCTTTGCTACTGTCAGCATTAGTCAGTGTGACTGACAGGGACAGATGGACAGGGAAAATGTTCAATAAGAATGCTGCATCACCAACACTTCAGCTATATAGGCTATATATCTATATATATATATATATATATATATATATATATATATATATATATATATATATATACAGGTGCTGGTCATAAAATTAGAATATCATGAAAAAGTAGATTGATTTCAGTAATTCCATTTAAAAAGTGAAACTTGTATATTATATTCATACATTACATACAAACTCATATATTTCAGATGTTTATTTGGTTTAATTTTGATGATTACAAATGACAACAAATGAAAATCTCAAATTCATCATATCAGAAAATTAGAATATTGTAAAAGGTTCAAAATTGATGGCCCCTGGTGCCACACTCTAATCAGCTAATTAACTCAAACCACCTGCAAAAGCCTTTAAATGGTCTTTCAGTCTAGTTCTATAGGCTACACAATCATGGGGAAGACTGCTGACTTGACAGTTGTCCAAAAGATGACCATCGACACCTTGCACAAGGAGGGCAAGACACAAAAGGTCATCGCTAAAGAGGCTGGCTGTTCACAGAGCTCAGTGTCCAAGCACATTAATAGAGAGGCGAAGGGAAGGAAAAGATGTGGTCGAAAAAAAGTGTACAAGCAAGAGAGATAACCGCACCCTGGAGAGGATTGTGAAACAAAACCCATTCAAAAATGTGGGGGAGATTCACAAAGAGTGGACTGCAGCTGGAGTGAGTGCTTCAAGAACCACCACACACAGACGTATGAAAGACATGGGTTTCTGCTGTCGCATTCCTTGTGTCAAGCCACTCTTGAACCACAGACAGCGTCAGAAGCGTCTTGCCTGGGCTAAAGAGAAACAGGACTGGACTGCTGGTGAGTGGTCCAAAGTCATGTTCTCTGATGAAAGTAAATTTTGCATTTCCTTTGGAAATCAAGGTCCCAGAGTCTGGAGGAAAAGAAGAGAGGCACTTCATCCACGTTGCTTGAAGTCCAGTGTAAAGTTTCCACAGTCAGTGATGGTTTGGGGTGCCATGTCATCTGCTGGTGTTGGTCCATTGTGTTTTCTGAGGTCCAGGGTCAACGCAGCCACATACCAGGAAGTTTTAGAGCACTTCATGCTTCCTGCAGCTGACCAACTTTTTGGAGATGCAGATTTCATTTTCCAACAGGACTTGGCACCTGCACACAGTGCCAAAGCTACCAGTACCTGGTTGAAGGACCATGGTATCCCTGTTCTTAATTGGCCAGCAAACTCTCCTGACCTTAACCCCATAGAAAATCTATGGGGTATTGTGAAGAAGAAGATGCAATACACCAGACCCAACAATTCAGAAGAGCTAAAAGCCACTATTAGAGCAACCTGGGCTATCATAACACCTGAGCAGTGCCACAGACTGATCGACTCCATGCCACGCCGCATTGCTGCAGTAATACAGGCCAAAGGAGGCCTAACTAAATACTGAGTGCTGTACATGCTCATACTTTTCATGTTCATACTTTTCAGTTGGCCAACATTTCTATAAATCCTTTGTTTTTATTGGTCTTCAGTAATATTCTAATTTTCTGATATGATGAATTTGAGATTTTCATTTGTTGTCATTTGTAATCATCAAAATTAAACAAAATAAACATCTGAAATATATGAGTTTGTATGTAATGTATGAATATAATATACAAGTTTCACTTTTTAAATGGAATTACTGAAATCAATCTACTTTTTCATGATATTCTAATTTTATGACCAGCACCTGTATACTTATATATATATATATAAGTATATATATATATATATATATATATATATATATATATATATATATATATATATATATATATATATATATATATATATAATGTATATATACTGTATATATACAAAGTATATATACTTGTATATATACTTTGTCCTACACAACAAACAAAATCACACAAAAAAAATAAAATAACCAGTAAAAATCTAATTTATTAAGCAATGGAGGCCTGGATTTTGGAGAAAATTACAGTGGAAAAACATTACAGGCTGATCCAGCTTTGATGTAATGTCCTTCACCTCTTCAAACCCACCTAATTTAAAGTGATCCTCGCCTATTTTGCATACCCAACTGGAAAAGGAAATAAGCAAGCACAAATTACATGTGTGATACATCATTTAAAATCTAACACCGTCTAGTTTCTGAAAATATAAATGAAAATAGTGTAAGCTTTATGCTGCTTTATATAACCCAGCCACGTGTAGGCTTGTTTGAAACCTTATCTCATTGGCTAAAAAGCCAAACAGCCCACGTGGTTTTAACCAATAACAGCAGGACTCTATGTGGCGTAATATCGCTCTACTCGGTGCGTCATCGGCTAACAGGCAAGGAGCGCTTGTGAGACTTCATTGTCTGTCCCTGACTCAAATTGAGTCGTACAAAGATGCGGAAACTTTAGTCTTGTAGGTAAGAAGACGAAGTAAAGAAACACACCAAGCATTGTAGGCTGAGGAACTAAAGATATGTATTAGGAAGTAAATATTAGCAAGATGCTAAGCATTAGCTATGACCAGCTAACTTTTCTGATGTCAACAACCGGACGTATGAGGCGATTTTCTCATCATGGAATATTTTTATTATGAATAATCTGGATTACTTTCAATCTGTGGACCCTTATGGACAAATGGAGTAAAACAAATTGGAGATTGGATTAATAAAACAGCTTCTGGACGCCTTCATAGGTATGTTGTTGTGGCTGCTTTGTAATTTTTACATGTTTCCATGCTGCTATATCTGCTAATTGTGCTTTGGTGCTCGCTGTGTCCATTAAATGAACTTGGTGGTTGAATTATGGAGGATCTAAGCTTTCTATGTCTAATATGTCTATAATGTTAAACATTTTACCGTTGTAATTTTCATGCATTCTGAGTTATTAGTTGTAAACGCTATAAAATAAGTCGCCTGCGATCGTCAGAATGAGGCTCAGGATTGAGCCTACAACGCCTGGGCTGCTCCTGCTGGTCTCCTCCCAGACCTGGACTAAAGCATCAGGAACCTACTGGGCCATCTGTGGAGCAACGTGACGTTGGTGGACGGATGGAGACATGATGTCAGATTCAGGTCTGGGCAACGGGCGGCTCGGTCCACAGCTTCTATGCCTTCATCTTGCAGGAAGTGCTGACACATGAGGTTTATCAATGCCCTGCATTAGGAGGAACCCAGAGCCTCTCATCCTGGTACCTAATGGCAGTCCTCATACCTCTGGGGAGCAGGTGGAGGGCTGTGGGGCCCTCTGAAGAAATGCAAACCCACATCATTACTGACCCCTGCCAAGGCATGCTGAGGGATGTCTCTCTCTCCAGGGTGTCAACAGACTGTGTCCCCTCTGTCATCATCATGGAGTCGGTTTCTAACCATTTGAAATGCATATTTGTGACCTGCTGGTCATTTTGCAGGGCTCTGGCAGTGCCCCTCCTGTTACTCCTTGCTAGGTTTTTGCACCTGAGCCACTTGTGAGGGTTGTAGAGTCCTTCTCATGCTATAGTGAGTGTGAAAGCACCACCGACATTCAACATTGACCAGAACAGCGGTTATAAAAAAATAAAAAAAGAGAGAAAGTTACTGAGAAGTGATCTGTGGTCGCCACCTGCAAAATTTTCCACCCGTGTTTGTTTTCCATTTAACCAAAAGCACGTCGACCTGATTGTCAGTCAGTGTTGCTTTGATTTCACAGAAGTTTGATTTGACTGAAGCTTTATCATGTTGATGTGTTCCCTTCATGTTATTGATCACTATATGTATATATATTGATTTTTCTGTCTTTTTAGGTTTGTTTTATTGATCACCTTTACCAATATTAAGCATGAACTTATGTTCTTGTTGAATTAAGCTTGTTTTTTGCATGCATCTTTTTTATGCCTTTAGCAGCGAGAGTATGGGGGCGTATTTCTTTCACCCACGTAACAAAATAAAAATTACATCTCATAACTATTAAATGCTTTTCTTATACTAATAAGATGCTCTCTCATGATAATAAGAGAGTATCTCATAATTCTGAGATTATCTTTCATTATTATAAAAGAGCTAATGCATAATAATGCCATATAACTCTTCATGACGGTGGCGGAAACAGGCTTCTTTAGTAATACAGTTTTGGATGGGAGGCTCTCGGGGGCCCCCTGCTGGCTTTGGATCCATTTGCAGTTGCTTATTTTGTTTATACCTGGGGCCTGCTGAGCTTTCTGACACTTTTAACTTTATAAAACATGTAAAAATCGTATTTTTTTACTGTAATCTCTGCCTGTGGTGCATATGATTGAGTAACAATCACAGTCTGAGTTTGTTATGGGATCTATTAAAACAGTGGTGGTTCAAACCAAGATGCACCAGGGGGTCAGGAGGGGGCCATGAGGGGGCCAGCGTGTTTTCATGGGGGAACAGAAAAGTATGAAATACAAATCAGGGCAAAATATACTAATATAGCTGCATAAAGTGAAATTTCTATTTAATTAAAATTCTATGTCTTATTAGGTCAATATAGATTCAGAATGTTTTCAAAATGCTATGGCCGAAAAATTTTGATTGACAGATGACTGATGATTGATATATGATTGGCCGAATTTAGGTGTTCAGGCTAACATAGAACTAGCTGGCCTGCAGAAGATAACAAAAAAAACATCAACAGGATTTTGTTCTTAAATAGAAATTTTCTAACTTTTGGGACAATATGGTCTGATAAAGAGTACATTTATAAACATGTTTAAACCAGAATGATTTGACATTTAAATATGATTTCCCTATGAAGCCATAAAAAGAAAGAAAAAAAAAAAAGGTCAGTTCAGGTGTTTTATAAAGAAGGTGCGTCAGGAAATTGTCTATATACCAAACTGAAAGACTTTTTTTCACTCTACTTTAAAAACAATTTAGATTTTAAAAATGGAAACACATTCTATTTTTCATATTTATTGTTTTTTTTTATAAAAAATTCTAAGTATAACACAGAAGCATAAACACCTGCGTTTTAATTCAGTGTTAAATGCTGTAAAATGTCTCTGCACCTTTACTGGTTGATGATTTTCTTTATTCGGACCCCGCCGATTTTCAGTGGTGTCAAAAGTTCACACCTTTGTTACTTAAGTAGAAGTATAGATCCTGCAGTTTAAAAACACTCTGGTAAAAGTTGAATCATCAACTTGACCTCTTTACTCAAGTAAAAGTGGAAAAAGTATGTGCTCCAAAAACTACTTAAAGTATAAAAGTATAAAGTAACCTTTAATAAAAACATCCAGATGCCACTAAATGAATTGAAAGCTCAATTTTGCGACTATTTCTAAAAATTCTCTGAGATAGGGCCAAGGATGAGGGAGGTCTTGTTGGTCTCCATCTCCCGATACGCTCTCGCCTGTGTCCAACCTTTCAGACATTTTAGCATCTTTTTCTGAATCCTCCATTGTAGCATGGCATAGACAATTCACGTTAGCAGTTTGAAGAACACCTGCTTGCTTCTGATGATTTCCTTTAGCTAACCAATGAGTGTTTGCGTTCTATGACTCATCCAATCACACTAGTTTTCACTAGATGTGGGTGGAGCCAATGATCTGCATTGGATGGAGCACATGACGGGAAATAAATATTTAGAAACATTAAACCGAAGCCAAGAGTAACGAGTAACGTTTGTTTTACATATGTAAGGAATAGAAAGTACAGATACTGGTGTGAAAATGTAATGAGTAGAAGTCCCTAAAAAGTGTACTTAAGTACAGTAACAAAGTATTTGTACTTCGTTACTTGACACCTCTTCTTTTACTTAAGTAAAAGTAAAAAGTATGGTGCAGTGAAATGACTTGTAAAAAGACGTTTTTATCCAAAATTTACTCAAGTTAATGTAACTGAGCAAATGTTATTAGTTACAACCCATCTCAGGACAAGTAACGTTTGTTTTAAAAATGTAAGGAATAGAAAGAACAGATACTTGTATGAAAATGTAGAAGTCAGAAGTAGGAGGAAAATAAGTAATGGAGTAAAGTATAGATAAGTACAGTACTTGACACCTCTGCAGATTTTTTTATTGGTTACCCCTGCTCTACAGGAGCCATGGCCCCTGATGGGCCCCCGTCTAGATCCGGCCCTGCCTGCAGCAGACCGGGATGTGGTGTCTTACCTAAGCGCAGCGCCTCGGTGGCCATGCGTAAAGCTTCCGTGAACTCGCTGGCTCTCAGCTTCTCCTGGATTTGGCCCTTCATCCTGGTCTCTTGGGGCCAACACTTCTCAGCGATCCCGATGAGCAGGACGTTGTTCTTGGTGCTCCTCACCTCCTTCTGCTTCAGCCTCTCTTTGCACAGCGGGCATTTGGAGGGGAGGGAACCCGCCGCGCACCTCCGGCAGAACGTGTGTCCGCACGGCACGGTCACCGGCTCGCAGATCGGGAAGAGGCAGTGCGGACACTCCATCAGATCCATCACCACAACCAGGCGTTAAAAAACAGGCTGCAGGGGGGGGGGCTTTTCAGCTTCTAACGTCAAAGTGAACCCAGAAGGAGAGGATGGGGGGTTATTATTGCACAAAGCTTTCCAGTAACATACCGATGAGCGGCGGCTGATCGGTTGCTGCGCCTCCCTCCTAAAGCTCACCTTCACTCCTAGATCCAAAGCTTTTCATTCACATTGTCTTTTGGAGCCTTTAGAGAGTCTTTGGTTCGGATCCAGCAGCATCTTTCCTTCCTCGGACACTTTAAACGGACTGAGTGACGCGCAGCCGTCGGTCTGTGCGCTCCAAGCCGCGCGCTCCGCACCGAACTGCGCTCCAGCGGAACCGATCAAAGCGCACATTGATGTTTGTTTCCCCCCTAATCAGGTGTCTCTGTCCGTTTATAACCTCTGGAGCGACGTTTCCGAAGCCACGAAGCTCAGTTACTATGTAACCCCATTACGTTACATAAATAAAGAGTCACGTGACGCGGCGGCGGGCTCTGTGATTGGTGGAGAGGAGCCGCTGTCAGCCCTGTTGTGAAACCCAAGGATCCCGTGTTTCATAACCCCTTTTTCTTGCGACTAAAGTCCTTTTTAATTCGCCATACTGTAAACATCTATTATATAAAATTAGAGTATCGCATTTAGAGCAATATCTGGTTTTCTTAAATGGAAAATATTTAGCGTTGATCCATAAACTTGGCAGTGAAGGGAATCCCAGCCGAGGATCATGACATCCAGGGGGCGTGGTGGCTCATCCTGACTGAAACAAACTGCTTTGAACCCTGAAGATTGAATAAATCTTTATTAAAAAGAGAATAACATCTATGTGAATGTGCTTTGCTTGTAGAGCTATAACCATTAGATCTGCACTAACCATTAGATCTGCAGAGATGGGACTGAGTTCCCTCCATCCAGGAGAGCAGACAGAGACAATAAACTGTTCAAGTTAGCTCTATTTCCAGTGGCGGTTCTACACCAAGTGCACCAGAGGGCCAGGAGGGGGCCAGCGTGTTTTCATGGGGGAACAGAAAAGCACAAAATAAAAAACAGGGGAAGAGATTCAAATATATTAAAGGAATAGTACACCCAAAACATGATTAGCCTTCATTTTCTACTCACCCCCATGCTGAACAACACTCTGGAGTACTTTTTTGATATCTCAAATGCATCTGGAGATCTGGGAGGCTTCTTGCTGTCTGCTGACATTCAAATAATGGAGGTCTATGGCGCCCGAGGCAGAAAGGTCCATAAAAGTCCACAAAAAACGTGTCAATATTCCTCCATACTGCTCGTCCAATGTATTCCAAGTGTCCTGAGTGGGTAGCGTCCATAATTTACTCGAAACGAAGTCATTTAGAATGTTTTAAGAGCATAAACAGTAGTGTATAGGATTTCCTGGAAGCGCGCACCTGCGCGATCACGACGCTACGGAAGCCAGCAGACCAAACCAGCGCATTCAGCTCGGCAAAGAACTCATGCTCTTCCTCAACACTGAAGTCCTCAGACATTTTTCTTTCGTTGTTTCTTTCTTTGCGCAGGTAAACAGCACATTTCTTCTTCTACGCTTGCATTATCGGCAGAGCAGACGCTGAATGCGCACTTTCATCTGGTTTGGTCTGCCGGCTTCCGTAGCGTCGTGATCGCGCATGTTGATAGTTGAAATGTTGATAGTTTCTATTTAAAAAAAAAATCCTGTCTTAAAATCTGTGTTTTTTCCGTTATCTTCTGCAGGCCAGTTAGTTCTACGTCAGCCTGAACACCTAAATTCGGCCAATCATATATCAACGGTCATCTGTCAATCAAATTTTTCCGGTCATAGCATCTTGATTCATGTGTCTCAGCTAATATACGCAACGGTTGAAATCAGAATCCTTTCCTTTCCCATTGAGTTGCGTCCCAGTGTTCACGGGGATGGACGTCTGTGTCTTCGGCAGGCGTAGAGCTAACAGAACTGGCAGCGTTGCGAGGCAAGGGCTCAAACATGTACGGCTGGAAGCCTTCTACACCAAACCAAGCTTCTGCCGCCCTGGCGTCCTCTTCCACAACATCTTCGTCCCCGCTTTCCTCCTCTAAATAAAAAATGGATGACGGAGGAGACTCATCCACGACCTCCGACACTAAACTCTCCTCCTCTTGTATGTTTCCGATGTCCATAGCGTTCCTTGACAGCGTCGTTTCTAAGTCACCAATTTAGTGCTACTTGGTCCCAATGGAATTTCCCATTGGGAACCTACTAGCACTAAGTTGCTAACTGGTTAGCAACATGCTTCGGACAAACCTTCCACCACAACGATCCCGCCCCCTTGATAATCGACCAATCACGTTCACTTTATTCACTGGTGTAAAGTCGGGCACCACTCGGGAGAATTCGGAAATGCAACGGTTGGAACAGTCACTTCCCTACGACTTTAATTAAAGATCAGTTTTATTAGGTCAATATACATTCAGAATTTAGGAATTTTACTTATTTTTGACTTAAATTATGTTAAAATAACCTTATTCAATAAAATCTAAATTAGAACTCAAGAAAAATGGATAAATTCAGAGTATTTTTTATTTGTTTTGAAAAAAAAAGCAGATGAAACCTGGGATCCTTTCTCAATCCCACTGAAGCTATCACCTTTTTGTTTTTAAATAATTAGTAAAACAAAATTTGTAAAAAAAAAAAAACTGAAATAGATCCAAAGGACCTATCAGTAACCAAGTCTGTTCCAGCGCAGATCATCATTAGAATTTCTTTAAGTATTAAAGTTAAAGGGAAGCAGCTGTTCAAAAACGTTGCAGTTCTGAATTCTCCAGAATGTTCAACAATAAAATACTGCACTGTAAAGTGTTCTAACAATATAAAACTGCACCTGGAGAATAAATAACCAATAAACAGCTGTGGACATTTTTACAGTAATGGATGTTTGAAAATAGCAGCAACATCAGAGATGTGCAGAATGACAGCAACAGTTTATTTAATTGACTAAGGTAGAAACTGTGTAAAAATCAGCATGAATGGAAGAACTGATTGAGGTTGTTGGGAACAGTGGTGGTTCTAGAGCGGAGGTCTTCAACAGGGGGTCCTCGGTGGTACTGCATGGGGGTTGCGAAAGTTTTGGTTGATTAGACCTCTTTTTTTCCACTAATTGAAATGACTTTAAATCCACATTAACATGAATTCAACAGACTGTAGTAAACAGATAAATGGAGGCAGAAGATGTCTTTCAGTCATCAATGCTAGTGGCGGTTCTAGACCAAATGTACAAGGGGGCCAGGAGGGGGCCAGCATTTTTTCATGGGGGCACAGAAAAGCAAAAAATAAAAAACAGGGCAAGGGATTCAAATATATTAAGAGAGCTGCATGAAATGAAATTTCTATTCAATTAGGTTTAATTATTAAAATTCTATTTCTTGTTAGATCACTAGACATTCATAAATTTGAAATTTTACATATTTTTGACTTAATTTAAGTTAAAATTACATTTTTTTCAAAAAATCTGAATTGGAACTCGAGAAAAATTGATAAATTCTGACATAAAAATTAGCGGAATTTGTTTTGAAAAAAATAACATTTAGCAGATGAAAACTGGGACGCTATCTCAACACCACTGAAGCTATAACTTTATTGTTTTTAAATAATTAGTAAAACAGAACTTGTATAAAAAAAATAGATCCCAAGGGCCTATCAGTTATCATGTCTGTTCCAGCGCATATCATCATTAGAATTTCCTTGAATATCATGTCTTCAGTACAGGGGCCATAACTGGGGCAAGGACATGATCTACAGGGGCACTGGCCCTCGTTGGCGCCTGTCTAGAACCGCCCATGATCAATGCACACATTTAGCGACACACAGGAGCTCTTTCAAGCTGGGCACCGTTTCATTCACAACACCTGTCCCATCAACCAGGAATCAGAAATCCCAGGGAGGGATTACTTTTGTTACATTACTCCATCTGTAATAGAGTGACTATAGGACCAGTTTGATAGAACACTATTTTATAGAATATTTGTAATTAGGGGGTCCCCGCTTCATCTCACCATCGATTTGGGGGTCCTTGGCCTGGAAAACGTTGAAGACCCCTGTTCTAGAGTCTTCCAGCTGCTGGGAGGAAGGATCTGTGATAACGCTCCCTGGTGCATTTAAGGTGCAGCAGGCTGTCACTGAAGGAGCTGTCCAGTTCAGCACCAGCTTCATGCATCTAAAATGTCTTCATTGAATTAAGTGGGAATAAACTCAAAATGTTTGTTTTGCTTATTTTGTGCAAAAATCTCAAATAAAAACTGATATTTCAGTTTTATGCTGTTGTTTTTGTGTGTGTGTGTGTGTGTGTGTGTGTGTGTGTGTGTGTGTGTGTGTGTGTGTTAGCACCGGTTATTTGAAAAAAATTACAATAATAAATAACAGAGATGCTTCAGAAGTCAGAATTTTTACTATTTTTTAGCTTTTGTAGAAATAGATTTTAACTTATTGTGATTTCCATTTAGCAGCCAGAAGATGTATTTTTTAAGTTCTCACATTAGATGCAGGGTTACATCATGTGAGCCTTTAAAACTATTTATTACTTCATCTTAAACATATTAATGACATTAATATTAGCAATGCATAGATTCTTCTATACTCACTTAATGCACCAGTTTAAATACCAGCTTCCCAGTGTTTAATATTGCTTTAATTTCATCAGATTGATCCATTTCTAAACAATTTTTCAACCAAAGCAAGCTTTAAATATTTCAAATTTCACTTAAAAGTCATTTTCTCTGTACTTTTGACCCCTTTGCCAGATTTTTCCTGTATTGCGAAGCCAAAAGTAACAACACCGCAAAAAATAACGTCCTCTGTCATTGTTACTCATTTGCAGGGCTGCATTTTCTGCAGAAGGGCTATAACAGATTCACCCTCATAGATCTTGTTTATTTGCTTCCATCCGCCTCAGATGCAGACATGTAACCCTTTATGGCGAAGGAAACTTAATTTCTTAACAGAATTCAATTCAGTTTATTTCTATAGCGCCAATTCACATTACGTCATCTCAGGACACTTTCCAGTTCATCAGATCATCCAGTCAGATTGATTTAGTTTTCTATCTAAGGAAAACCAGCTGATTGACTGTTTGACTGGAAGGCAATCCCTCACACCCAAGGCTGATTTCTACTCAGAAACCAGGTCGTCTGCGTGTTGGTCGCAGTGAACGCAAATATGTCCCGCCCCTTCCGCAGACACGCTGCAAAAAATTTAAATCTCAATAAGTCATTTTTTTCCTCAAAATAAGTGCATTTTTTTCTTGAATTAAGGAGGTAAGGGAGACGATTTGCCAATGAAACAAGAGAATTTACATTTAAAATAAGAAAAACAATTATACAGTCCTATTTCAAGTGCATATTATCTAATTATTTTATTTTAAGAGTAAAAATACTCATTTCATTGGCAAATCATCCCATTTACCTGCTCAAATTAAGGGTAAATACACTTAATTTAAGATATTTTTACTCAGATCGTTTTTG